CGATTACAGTTACTGATCAAGGATGATCCATGCAGTCGTAGAAGCACTTCCTCCTACAATGTGAAACATTAAATAATATAAGAAACATTTATTTTAAGAAATTAAACGCTGTAATCTCAGATTTCAACTATGTCAAAATGTGAAAATAATCACAGGAGAAGGATTCAAGAGGTTTGTTGTCATATGCACAGTAAGAAACAGTGGTTTATACGTACAATGAAAATCTTGCTTTGCCCGACTCCCTTTACACAACACACAAATAGCCGAATAGAATAAAGTTAAAATATAAAATATAACTTAAAATATAACATATAACTTAAAGTAGCGACACAAATGCTAATCCGTACAACAAAAGAAACCTGAGATTTTGAATAAGGTGCTAATAATCACATAGATATTCCTTTATTTGTCCCACAGTGAGGAAATTCCAATGGATACAGCAGCAAAGTGGACATAACACACAGCAACACCCCCCCCGCCACACACCCCGCGGCGGGTAACAAAAGCACTAACCTACAAAACAAGTAACAGAGCTCGGCGAACATCACTCACCACAAATCACTGTACAAAAGAGACACCAAAAGAAAGAAAAACACACGCCGCTAAGACTAAAGTGTGTCTCGGAATTAATGGCTTCGGGCAAAGAGGGTAAAACGGTAACAGTCCAACCACGAACCAACACATTGGAGTGCTGGCACTGAGTCAGCTGGAGAGGTGCAAGCCCTTTCACTCCACTGATGCAACTGCAGACGGTGGCTTAGCAAGGCACCTAACCGAAACTGCTCACGGGGCATCTGGGTAACCGGCGGCAGCGCCCCAGTACCTATCCACCATCAATACCCACAACATATTGATAAGCTAAGTAAATACATATAGTAAATAATAGGGAATGCTACTCATAAATATACAACAAATAGAAACAAATATATAATTCCCTTAGGTTCTCAGAGGATACATATAATAATCCCATCATATTACTATACCGCTCGCTGCTCTATTATATACATATTGTATATGTCTTTTTTTTGTGTTATCTGTTGTGTTATCTGTTGCTGTTGTAGATTCTTACTTTTTCTTTCTCTTGTACATAGTGTTTTTTATTTATTATTTTTTCCTACTCTTACTGTTTGTATACTGTTTCTTTTTCTCTATCCACTTTGCTGCTGCAACATCGGAATTTCCCCATTGTGGGACAAATAAAGGAATATCTTATCTTATCTTATGATGCAGCCATAACATAACCTCACTCACCTCCTCCTCCATATTTATGTCTGAGAGAGCCTTTGACCTGTTGTGTAACAACACACGACGAGCCTCTCAGTTTATTATTATGGTCCCCACCATCTGAATCTGTTCAGTTCATCTTGTCAATCGCTTAACTTAATAACTTACTGACTGATAGCTGTAATGAACTGTCTAAGGATCAAAGACATTTCATTAAGATGATAAGTTATCTAAGCGGTATATTTCTAAACATATTATTCACCATGAAATACTAAAGATATTATATTTTAACCAGAAATGTATAAGTGATATATTTTCTCTTGGTTTTTCTTAGACAAACACTAAAATAATATACTATTTCGAGGATAATGCATGATAGTGACTACAAACTACTGCGTTTTATTATTATTCATTATTGCAGAATATAAATATACACAGTCAATATGTGGCAGCACATAACTGTAACCCAGAGTATAGACATTTTTTTTAATGGTATTTCTTTTATTTGTGTCTGCAATAAGCTGATCGTTGCATTCTGAGAAACACTGTTTCTTGATAGTAAAATCCTGTTTATTTAGCCTCTGATGGTTAACAGCATCCATATTAATGAACAGTGTCAAAAGGTATAGCAATGTGTTAACAAACAATAATAATACAGTGAAATATATAATACAGTTTCATTCTTTCATATTGCGTAACTGTCTCATGCAGACATTAGACAAGTAAAAATACTCTTACATGGCAGCTTATGCACATATAAATATAATAACTGCAACATCAGATCATTGCATGGCCAATGTAGATAAGGAGTACGGGTATTTTAAAAGGCAAAGGATTCATTTCTTTGAGCCAACCTCTGTACTGCATCAAAAGACACAAAATTACATAAAAAGGTTGATAACTGATGACATTCCTTCAAAGTCATCATGAGTTACACGCTCTTTGAAGGACGAGGCAGCACCAGCTTCAGCCCAATATCAACTACACAGGAAGGCATGTAAGAGAGAGGGATCCAGAGAAACTTGGCATCCCAGCCGGCACTGTATCTGGTGCGTGGGTAGGCAGCAGTCAGAGCGTGCTCCATGCAGTTGGTCACCTTGGTGAGGTCAGAGTCGCAGATAGCATTCATGATCAAACGTTGGATCTTGATGTCTGAAAATTAGAATAAATGTAAAATACATTTTGTGCATAAAATGTAATAATTTAACTGTTTTACTTCACCTCTATATGTATGTGTTGTATAATGAGGAAATTCGTGACATTTTGAAGTCAAAATAATAAATAAGTCATAATTTTTTGGGGCCTTTTATTGCCTTTAATGGATAGTGACAGGTGAAAGAAAAAGGTAGACAGGAAAGGGGGGGTAGAGAGAGGGGATGACACGCAGCAAAGGGCCACAGGTTGGATTCGAACCCTGG